GTTTTAAGTGCAACAACAATTGCATTGCATTTTCACATTATAAATAATAGTAAGTATTATACAATGGATTTAATTTATGGTATATATATTTGAACATGATAGTAGTTAAGCTTCATCCTGTATCTACCAGTGAATTGCGATTGTTCCCATTATTTAAAATTATTTCCAAGTTTTCCTCCCTCTATTACTCTATGCTCAACAGAATTTTTTGTAATAGATTGATATAGAGGTTTGCATGTGTGAGAGGATATTTTTGTTGTTTGTCTTTCAGACGTCAAATTAAGTTATCAGCAAAGAAGTGTTTTTGTGTTTTATATTCAAATTTGCTTAAATAATTTGTGAAAATGGGTGAAAAAGCATCAGACCAAAGTATTATGGATAAATCCATGAGATCAGTATTCGGTGGGTAATTTTGTTAAACTTGTACGAGCGTTTTTAATGTTTTACTCCTTTTAGTCGGTAACATACCATACGAAGCGACTGAGGAGAAGCTAAAGGAAATATTTAGTGAAGTGGGTCCTGTTTTGTCGCTTAAGTAAGTAAACAACGAAACTTTTACGTTTGTGCAGTTTTTTAAACAAAATGTTATTGTAAAACTATTATATTCTTTAGGCTTGTGTTTGATCGTGAAAGCGGTAAACCGAAAGGATTTGGATTTTGTGAGTATAAGGATCAAGAGACTGCGTTGAGTGCTATGCGTAATCTTAATGGTTACGAAATTGGTGGACGTACACTGCGTGTAGATAATGCATGTACAGAAAAGTCCCGTATGGAGATGCAGCAATTGTTGCAAGGTCCACAAGTTGAAAATCCGTATGGCGAACATTGTAATCCTGATGAAGCACCCGAAATTATCACAAAAACAGTTGCATCTTTACCGCCAGAACAAATGTATGAGTTGATGAAACAAATGAAGCTCTGTATAGAAAATAATCCATCAGAGGCGCGTCAAATGTTAATGATAAATCCACAATTGGCTTATGCCTTATTACAAGCTATGGTTGTTATGCGTATAGTCGATCCACAATCTGCATTGGTTTGTACAATTTTCATATTATGAATATTAACACTATTATATATTTCGTTTTTTGTAAAGGGTATGCTATTTAAAGCTAACCAAATGCCACCTGTACTTGGTGGGAATGTAATGTCTAGTGCGCAACAAAATGTACCAATAGGTAATCCAATACAACCGCCACCACCGCAACAACAGCAACAACAACAACAGCAGCAGCAACAACAACAACAACCTTTGAATGGTCCACCTATGCCTGTACCACGTCCAGAATTCAACCCAATGACAAGTGGTGATATTGATTTGCGTGCTATGTCTGCTGCTGCACAAAATACTAATATAGACCCACGACAAATGGATCCTCGCATGGGACGTAATATAGATCAAGACATGCGCTCACTACCAAATCCTGTGCCACCACCGCATATTGATCCTCGTTCGCGGCAAATGCCACCACAACAAATCAATCCATCAGCAATTTTTGGGAACGAACAACGGCGACCTATCGATCCACGTTTACGTGGTGTCGGTCCAGCTGGAGGCATGCCGCCAGCACAGCAACAACAGCAAACGCAACAACTACAAAATCGTTTAGTCGTGAATTACGGCTTGCCCAATGATGCTTCGGACCAAGAAAAGGCCGCGCTTATTATGCAAGTTTTGCAATTATCAGATGATCAGATCTCGCAACTTCCACCGGAGCAACGTGCCAGTATTCTGGCGTTAAAGGAGCAAATAGCAAAAAGCACACAACGTTAAATGGGATTAATTTTAAAAGTTTCTTTTAGATTTT